AAAAAAAAAAAAAAAAAAAAAAAAAAAAAGAAATCCAAGGTCAGAGTGAACTCAAGTCATTGAAGCTCCAGTTTTTGTTTGAGTGGATGTTTGGGTTGTGTCACTATCCTGAAATTGCTGAGAATTAAGAGAAACATACTGAGGCAAACTTTCAGCTATAAGATGGCCTAATGTACAGTATGGTGACTATAGTTAAAGTAATGTATATTTGAAATTTGCTAAGAGAGTAGACCTCACATGTTCTTACCCCCATCTGCTACACATAAGGAGGTACACCATGGTGTTACAGCTCTTTTAGAATTTAGAAAATTCTGGTAAAACCAGAAACTAAAAATAAAGGAAACTATGTGAGGTGATGGATACGTTAAATAGCTTGATTCTGGTAATCGTTTCACAATGTAAATATATTTATCAAGCCATCATATTGTATACCCTAAATACGTGCAATTTTTATTTGTCAATCATACCTCAAAAGAAAAAAGAAACTTAACAAGGTGTTCCTTTGTTCTAGAAGTTCTAGAATGGGTGGGACTGGTGATTATTTTCCACATTCAGTATGTGATGGGACCATTTTCTACCTTTTTTCTTGTTAAACAAAAGTTATAGCAGTATTTTACTTTAGAGGCTTGTCAGATGTTAATAATATTTCTCAACTGAAATAACATTAACTTAATACAAATTCTTGGTGATAACGTGTTTGTTGTGCTTATTCTTGCAGGGTGAAGGCAGCATGAATGATCCCTGAATGTGCCTTTGGGCATATTTAGCCATTCACTTTTGATTAGAAGAAAGAAGACAGCCATCACTTGAGAGGTAAGTAAGGAGTTCTGTGCAGCTTTTTATCATAAAGAATTTTCAAACATGCTGAAGAGTTAACATACAATGAGTTCCTGTGTATCTACTATCTAGATTTAACAGTTTAGCCTTTTGCCACCATGTGTCTATTTGTCTGTCTGTCTCTCTCTCTCTCTCTCTCTCTCTCTCTCTGTGTGTGTGTGTGTGTGTGTGTGTTTGTACATTTTTTTGGTGAAAGTAGGTACAGATATCATGACATTTTCTCCTAAATTCTTGGGGATGCAGTTCTTTTTTTTTTTTGAGTTGGAGTCTCACTCTGTCACCCAGACTGGAGTGCAGTGGCTGCTCCCGGCCACCGCAGCCTCGACCTGCTGGGCTCCAGCGATCCTTCCGCCTCAGCCTTCCGAGTAGCCAGAATTACAGGCGCGCGCTACCACGCCCGGCTGATTTTTGATTTATTGTAGAGATGAGGTCTCGCTGCCCAGGCGGGTCTCGAACCTGCGGGCTCAGGCAATCCACTCACCTCAGCCTCCCAAAGGCACAGGATTACAGGCTGAGCCACCGAGCCCGGCTTGGGGATGCAGTTCTTAAAAAGAAGGATATTTTTCCCAGAAAGACATTTAAAAACTGTAACATAGAATCATTTCGTTAGACAGTTATAATGTTCTATTAAAGAGTATATCTTTGTTATACTCCTTTCATAGTTGATAGAAATAAAGTCAGCTTAAACATTTTTTAAACTATGATTTATTTAATGGACAGATATGCAATATATATTTGTTTGATGTGAGAAACATCTGATTATAAGGGTGGGAGTTTACGCTATACATGTGCCCTAAGAGAGTGGAATTACTAGGCTTTCTTCATGCCTGTTCCCCACCAGCAGCCCCCACCATGGTTGAAGTTTTATGGTTAGTCAGTGGATGGTTAGTCAGTGGATCTGATCACCACTCTCGCCTTCTTCCTGATTAGCATTCACAAGTAGACTAGTCTCTGTGCTCTAATGTGATCAAAGGTCTTAGATTGATTTTTAAAAATCTAAACTTATAGGAGAATGTGGAAAGAATATAAGTGATAATGTGAAGTTGAGGTTAATATATTAAAATCAACATTAGAGAAGCTAAAAATTATTTCCAGTCCTATAATTTGACTATCTGAATTGAAGCTTTATAACAAATCTCAAAGATGTGTTCAGCTATGATTACAGTTGTAGATCATTACACATTATAGCCTATTATGCAATCAGTTCTAAGGTAGCTGTCAATTCTTCCAATCTCAGTTATAACGTATTTATGGTACCTTCCTCAAGTGGTTCCTGTTATCTAGCATTGCTTTATAGACATTTATGAACTAGAGTTGCCCATTTAGAGCATATTTTAAAAGAAGTCTATTTAAGTGAGCCATTTAGGACAGTTGTGGCTTCTTAATACTCTCATTTCTGATTTAGAACAAAAGGTTAGTGATGCCAGTAAAGGTTCTTTGAAAGACACTGACATTCAGGAGGAGTTATGCCTAGAATCCCAGGTAGCTCAGAATGATCTAGTTTGCTTTTTTGCTCTTTGGCCTGTGCATGGTTATGCTTTGAAAAGATAAGGAGGTTTGAGTGGGGCTCCCTAGGGGGCAAAGGGGCTTTGAAGGATGAATGAAGGGACAGCGTGCAGGGCCGTGGCTGACTCTAGACCACTTTGATATGGGGGGATTTTAAAAACCTTTCTACTGAAGTAAAGCACAAACATAGCAAATACACATATTACAAGTGTATAGCTTGATATAATTTTACAAACTGAGCATGCTCATGTAACCAGTACCCGGATTAAAAAATAGAACATGACCAACAGTCTCATGCCAGACATAGTTGAAAATCCAAATACAACTTTTGATTCCCTCAAAACTTAACTTAACCAATAGTCTACTCTTGATTGGAAACCTTACTGGTAACAAAACAGTTGATTAATGCATATCTACTTATATTTTATGCATTCATGCCATCCCTAACTTTAAAACATGTTTTTTCAATGTTTCTAAACTATGTGATTTGTGAGTGTTTTCAAACCAGTTTTTTTTTTGAGTTGGAGTCTCACTCCATTGCCCAGGCTGGAGTGCTGCAGCATACTTAGGGCCACCCCAGTGTCGACCTGCTGGGCTCCAGAGATCCTTCCACCTCAGCCTTCCAAGTAGCTGGAACTATAGGTGCATGCTACTATGCCCAGCTAATTATGATTTATCGTAGAGACGAGGTCTCGCCAAGTTGCCCAGACTGATCTCAAGCCCGCAGGCTCAGGCCATCCACTCGGCCTCCCAAAGTGCTGGTATTACAGGCTGAGCCCAAAGTGCTGGGATTACAGGCTGAGCCACTGAGCCCAACCCAAACCAGTTTTTTAAATTGAAAAACATCTGCATATAAGTGCCCCTCGAGGTTAAAATCCATATTGTTCAAGTGTCAACTGTACTCTGCTCCATCGGTGACTACTGTCTTCACTTCTAGCGCATAAATTAGTTTTGCCTGTTTACTTTCTGTGTATTTGTGTGTGTATATGTGTGTAATATATAATACAGATTGTATTCTTGTATCTGGCATCTATCAGCAATGTATTAGAGATTCCTCCATATTGTTGTATACAATTATAGACTGTTCATTTTCATTACTATAGAGCATTCCGTTGTGTGAAAATTTAACAATTTATTTTACTAGATGTGGGCAATTTTTTGAGTTTGCCCGTCCAGGGTTACCTTCAACAGAAACAGGGATTAAGCAAGGTTGCAACCACACCATGATTACAGTGGAGATGGTCCCAGTTTGTATCTAATTTCTGCTGTGATGTGAAGGAGAAATCCAGATGGCAGACAGAAGACTGAGATGCACTTGGGAGATGAGTGTGTGGCTTTTTCAGTCCTGTAGTGATTCCTGCTGCTCTTTCTGTGGCTCACCATGTCCCTTTCACTTTATTGCATGCTGGCACTTGTTTTCTACATCCTCTCCTGTGCCATTATTACAGTACCTCCAGGGAGTTTATGCAGACCATATCAAACAGGCAGTCAATGAATATTTAAAGTTCATTGGGTGTTGGTGTTAAGTGTTATTTGAGGGGCAAAGCATTGAAAGTTGTGAGATTGCTCTTGAAGAGCCTGTGTCATGGTTCTGCATTTACAGGTATGGATATGGGTCACATCCCTGGGAGCCAAGTGTAATGCAGAATTCAGGGATAGAAATTCAAAGGCTTACATGGACCAGGTTGGCAACATGACTGAAATTAACAGTGGTTGCTCAGTAAGGAGTGATGAGCACATATATGAGTATATATCCCCTGCCCAAATTTTGATCCAACAAAACATGTCTGGCTGAATTTAGCAAGTCTGCCAATTTTCAACCTTTGGGGAATAGAGTGCTCGTTATAAGAACGTGTTCCTCAGGGGATCTGGATGTTTTTAGGGAAAAATTTTGTTTTTGTAAATAAAGTTTTATTTAAATTCAGTCATGCACATTTGTTTATGTATTGTGCTATAACAGCAGAGTTGAATAGCTGCAAAAAGACCTGAGTTGAGTAATTGCAGAAGTGACCATATGGCCCCCAAAGCTTAAAATATTTACCATCTGGACCTTTACAAAAGAAAGTTTGCCAATTCTTACTGTACTTCAGAAAAGCAAGGATGTAGTAATAACTTCTGTAGTCATGTAATTATCTGAACCCATTAAATGTAGTGTTAATGTTTTCATGCATTTATTCATCCAAAAAATATTTACAGAGTGACTATTGTATTTCAGGCATAAAATGGTTGTAATAAGACATGGTTCTTGTTGTTGGAATTTAAAAAAGGCTCTTGTGAACTTGAGGTTCCATTTTAGGACTGTGCTTTCTATAAATCAAAACAAAATTGTAAAATGGAAACAGAATTGCTAAGTCTTCATCTTAAAACGAGAATCTTTATATTTTATAAAATTGATAAATGCTTATTCTACATAGTCCAATGGCTTCTTCAGTAATGAGGAGTATGTAGTGTGACATGTGCACAAATAATTACGGTTTTAAAGGTTCTAATTGTTCACATGTGGTGACATCAGACTGTTTAGTGCTTAACAAAGCAAGCCAAATAGACTTCCAGTCATTTGCTGCTTTAATAATAAATAATAAACCTCAACAGAAAACCAAGATATAATAAAGTTTGGAATGTAGTATAACAAATTAATCTGTCTCTGTTGATAGGCTTATCTGTTTGCTTATTCCAAGTCATAAATGTTTGTTTTTTAGTGGGAGGCTTGGGACATTGTAATGAACATAGAAAATGTAGAAATATTTTAAAGATTTCTTTAAGGAATTTGAAGCTTGTTTTTAACATTTTTTTAACCTGGTGAGCATTTTCATATGTGCTTGGATGTGGTTTTTTTTTTTTTTTTTTTTTTTGAGTTGGAGTCTCACTCTGTCACAGACTGGAGTGCTGTGGTCGCTCCCGGCCACCGCAGCCTCGACCTGCTGGACTCCGGCGATCCTTCTGCCTCAGCCTTCCGAGTAGACGGAATTACAGGCATGCGCTACCACGCCCGGCTCATTTTTTAATTTTATTGTAGAGATGAGGTCTCGCCTGCCCAGGCGGGTCTCGAACCCGTGGGCTCAGGCAATCCACTCACCTCAGCCTCCCAAAGGTGCAGGATTACAGGCTGAGCCACCGAGCCTGGCTTGGATGTGTTTTATGGGAGGACACGCAGGCTATGAGTGGCTGTCTGTTCACCACCTCCAGACTGTCCTCAACCCAATCCAGAGGAAACACAGTGGAATCATACAGTGAGTGATCGTTAGCCACGGTGGCTGCGTTGCCTTCTTTCAGTCCAAGAGCCCTCTTAGGGAGTAAGATAGGATGTCTCTTTGGTGGTTGTAGTTGCAGTATTTATCTGTGTGCAAGAAGTCAAAGCTGTGAAAATGCGGGAAGCCCTGGCCGTGTTTACACATTGATTTAGGAGACATCAGACCTCCAATGGAAAGCTCTTTGCCACGTCTTGAGTCAGTGATCTGCATGGCCTGTGG